ATTTTTTCTCTAAAATTTTATCTAGCTGTCAAAGATATACAATCAAAATTTACGAATAAAATAAATAAATAAAAAAAAAAATTAAAAATTAAAAAAAAATAAATCATTGATAAAATAGAAAAATCAATTTAAATATTAAAAAAAGGTTTTAAATTCTTTGATCAAGTGGTATGTTAACTATGCTGACTATTGTAGTCCTACCAAGGATTGAACTCACTATCCTTGGCTAACAAATTTCAGAAATTTGTTAGCCAAGGAGCTCCTCAGCTTAATGGATGCATTCTAAATAGTGACATTAGTAGACTTGTCTGCCTTCCTGCCAAAGTGCTTTAGGAATTATTTAAGGTCTTGAAATTTCTCCTCAGTATGAATTCTTCTATTGCTTGGTAAAGTACTGTCACTCAGTTTATTGATAGATATCCCATTTTATCATCTGGCTTCAACCTCATTTAATAACCATCTACCTTGAGTGGTTCTCTGGTCTTTTATTGGGTAAACAAATGAAGAAAAACTAATAGAGAAAAGAATTCAAAATGGTCTTGATTTTTTTTATAATTCATTTGAGGAAAGTAAAAGCATAAATGCTAAGAGCAATCAGCAATTAAAGAAAATTTAAATAATCAAATGAAACCAATTTATTGATCATTTACAGAAAGCAAAAAAAGAAAGAAAATGTAAAAAAAAAAAAAAATAAAATAAAGGGAAATTGAGATTTTCTTTTTTAGAAAACAAAATCTAAAATATTTTTTATAGCTACTATAAGAACTGAATTAACCTATTGTAGCTTTGTAAGTACTCATTTCTAATTTGATTATTATGTATATTAAAGACCAATTGTCATTATTATTATTGGAACAAGTTTTTAAATCCAACAAAGCATTTTTCAGTAATGTTGTACATCCTTACCTGTCAGAAATTCAATTAAAAAAAGTCAGTAAATAACCGTTTGTAGGTGAATTACCAAACAGAAAATGCAAAGAATATTCACAATAAGTATTCAAGTTATAGTAAAGAGGAATAATTACAGAAAATTCAAACATTTCCCAATTGGTAACAATAATGATGAAAACAAAATGGTTATTAACTCATGAAAAATTATCCAAACATTTCAATTAAAACAATATCAAATAAATAAAAATAGATTTGACTTAACAAAGTTATGAAATAGTTTTAAACATTATTAATATTTTAAATGCATTTTGGTCAATAAAAGTGAATAATTTGTACTGATTTTTTTTTATTAGTATTTTTTTTAACTGTCAAAGAGACCAGAGGTTTTTTATATTATTAAAACTGATTAAAATTAAAAGTGTGAAATATGAAAATATTTTTTTTAATTATTAGTTACCTAAATTTTTATTACTTTGAAGAATTTAAAAACAAAAACAAAACTGATCTAATTCTTTGCATCATGTAAACTCCTCATATTATGTGATCTCTCATTCCTTGAAAGAAACCAGGGCAACAAAAAAAAATTCAAACCACAAAATTAAACAAAATGTATCTCCAACAAAAATATTTTTTTATCAAAGATCAATATTTAAAAAAAAAAAAAAAAAAAAAAAAAAAAAAAATGGGTTAATCCAATTGTAGCATGTCAAATTGTAAGATTACAGCATTATCAGTTTTAAATGCACACATACCAATTTTCTAAATATACATTGCAAAGAAATCTTTATAGGCTTTTAAAACCAATTTCAATAAAATCTCTAAGTTGGATATTTAGACTTTATCTTAGAGCAGGGGATCACCAAACTACAGTCTGATGTCAGTTCATCCGGCCCACAACCACACTGTGCCACAAATGAGCTAAATTATAATTATTTATATGGTATTATTAATAGATTGCAGTTAAACTTACTATGTGGAAAAAATTAAAATTAATGTAAGTAAAATTACATTTTTGTACCTAACAGTAATATAAGTTTTAGGAAAATCAATGAAATAAAAAATTTGGTGACTTTTGCAATTTTTAATATCCAAGTGCTTTTTGTGTAAGTACCTGCTATGAAGTTTCTAAGAAAAGCAATTGTGAACCTGCTGCATGGATTATGTTTTAACTTGCATTGCCATGTTTAAACCAGT